GAAGAGAACAGTCATTTGTTAAATGCTCAATTTCACCTTGTCTAGTGAACCAGCATTAGGTTCTCAAGTCTGGCTTTACAATGTCCCATTGTTCTAGCATTCTACATAAAAATTTGAGAAAACTGTTGGGGCACCTGGGTGGCTCAGTTGGTTTAGAGTCTAACCTCAGCTCAGGTCATGATCTCTTGGTCCATGAGTTCGAGCCCCACATCAGGCTCTGTGCTGACAGCTCAGAGCCTGGAGCCTGCTTCAGATTCTGTGTCTTACTCTCTCCCTGCCCCTCCCCCACTCGTGCTCAGTCTCTCTCTCTCTCAAAAATAATAAACATTAAAAAATGTAAAAATTGAGAAGACTGTGAATAAGAAGTGTGGGGTGGAAAAATGAAGACTTTGACACTTATCTAGGTGATAGGCTAATAAGAGTCTCAGAAAAATAGCCAGTGGATATCTTTTCCATTGATAAATCTGGTGCAGAATTATGTATACTTGCGACTAGCATAGCCAGGGAGCAAAAGGAAGCCCCTATTACTAATATCCATAATTCAACAGAAATGGACCTTTGGGAAATTATAAATCCATCAGGGTCCCCTTCCGTCTCGTGTCAAAAAGTCACACACACTGGATACCCCAACTACCTTAAGCAGTTCTAGTATTAAAAGAGAAATTATTTAAAATGTCTCCAGAGAAAGAAGTACCTTCTTCATGGATCTGGAATAAGCTCATTCTGTCTTCTGGTTAGACTGTACATCATGACAGAGCATTGATCCCACTGTAACAACTACAAGAAATCAGATGGTCAAAGAAAGTCACATATTTTTAAAGGACATTTGAGAGTTCTGGGTGTAATGTAGTCTAAAGTAACTAAATTCCAAAGAGAGACAAGCACATACCAGTGGCCATTGTCCTCTCTGGCAAGAATTGGCTTGGAAGTGAGAGAATTGGGTCAGTCATGGGCTTAAAAAACTGCTAGGATGAGGATCTGGTAATGACTGTGTGGCCTGGATAGACAGATTGAAATCTGAACAAGCCCCAAATGCATAGCTAGTTCTCCCAATCTATGGATTCTCCCAGTAGGTTTTTTAAATATATAGTGATATAAGTAATATGGCAAATTAATGTCTCTACCAGAATTAGGGGTGGGGGAGAGAGTTGGAGTTAAGTCTATAAAAGCAGAGAGTTACACTCTGTAATCTCAGTCGATCCTTGTGTTTCTCAGGAAAACAGTTCCAATGTTTCCCTTCATATCCCCTTTTTCCTCAGGGCTCAGACTTGGGACCACTGAGGTGGCTGTAACAACCAGCCTTCAATACCCACACCAATGCTTGCCTCACCACATCCTTCTATTCCTACATCATTGTGTCCACTACTGGAAGATTACCATGTGTCCAGTCTGAGGTAAAGCTCCATGAATATGCTGGAAGAAGAGTGTTCTTTAGTTTTTAAAGTTTGTTTATTTAAGACAGACAGACAGTCCAGTCTGAGGTAAAGCTCCATGAATATGCTGGAAGAAGAGTGTTCTTTGGTTTTTAAAGTTTATTTATTTAAGACAGACAGAGTCAGTGTGAGTTGGGGAGGGGAAGAGAAAGAGGGAGAGAGAAAATCTCAAGCAGGCTCTGTGCTGTGGCATGATGCAGGGATTGAATTCATGAAACCGTGAGATCATAACCTCAGCTGAAACCAAGAGTCAGACGCTTAACTGACTGAGCCACCGAGGTGCCCCTGAAGAGTGTTCTTATTGTCCAATTTACAGATGATGGAAAGAAATTCTCAGTAATTTGTGCAAGGCCACCCAGCCACTAGGTGAATCCAGCTTTGCCTGATTCCAAACCCCACAATCTCCAATTCAGGGCCTAAGAGGTGAGAGCTGGTTTTGCAGCATAAGAAGCTGTAATTAGGCCTTTAAGTTAGGAACAGCCAGCCTGTGTCTGTTATTGATGTTTCTGGCATGATGGGGTTAACCTGTGAATGCAAAGTGGCACGAGGGACATTGGCACCCAGCTAACGACCCACTCCCATTTTCCAGGCCCCATTCACAACCATTGAATTTTCTCTCTACTAGCTTCACCCAACCTTACCTTCCCACACCCCTATTAAACCATTTTGTAGCTGGAGGGCCAAAGGGTGTGCCTGTTGCTTCTGGAGGCTCCAAGGCTTGTCACATCAAGCCCTAACCAAGCAGGTCCCGTTGTCACGGCAACACGGATGCCTCTTCTCCTGCTCTCCTGATCCTGGCATTTGCCCTGCACTGAGATACCGAGATCTTGTTCCCTCATCCACCTGGGGATTCTGGGAACACCGGGAAGCCCACGTGGCCTTAGTACCGAGGACTTGGGAGACCTGCTGGACTGTGCAGTCCTGGGCAGTGCAGCTGAGGTGCATTCTTCTGATCCTGTCGCTCCAGGGCTTTGAGGTGGCCTCCAGAGTCGCCCCACAGCTCGCAGGTGGCGTGTCCCTGCCCAGCAGCGCCTGCAGAGTCAGAGAAAGTGAGCCGGAGACCAGGGGCTTTGCTCCAACGGGACCCTGGAAGTACCGAGCGCCTTGGGTAAGGGCTGGATCTCTGCCAAGGCAGGCAGTGGGGGCAGGAGGCGGAACCCAGTCGGCGCTGGAGGGGAGGGGTGGGAAGAGCTCCTGACTGCGGAGGGCGGCTCCAGTTGCAGAGGGGCAGGTGCTGGTGGGAGAGGGCGGGACCCGGTGCCTAGGTCGCCCAGGCAGAGCAGGGGTGCCCTGGGTCCAGCCCTAAGAAAGAGAGGATGGGAAGGCTCCTGGCTGTGGGGATCAGGAAGGGAGGGCTCCCGGCTGCTGCGGGGTTGCAGACGATGGTGGGAGGGGCTCCGGCTGCAGTGGCCCCAGCAGGGGTGTCGGACAAGGCGAAAGGGGACCTTCTCCTTGCAGAGGTGAAGGGCTGCATGGTGGGGGTTCTGAGTCGTGGCCTGGAAGACGTGAACTGGCCAGGGAGGAGTTCCAGGTCGGTGTGGGGGGCGGTGCGGTGGGCTGTCTGGCACCAGTGTCCCTCTCTCCCCTTTGCACCCACAGGCCTCCACTGCAGAGCCTGCGACAGTCTGCGCGCCCCTGTGCGATCGCGCCCCTCCCCGGCAGGTATCCGCGATGGCACTGGCTGTGCTTCGTGGCTGGTGCAGGTGGATGGGCGTGGATGCTCAGCGCTCGCTGCTCATCCTGGGCATTCCCCACGACTGTGAGGACCAGGAATTCCAGGAGGCCGCGCAGGCTGCCCTCCAGCCCCTGGGAAGATACCCAGTGCTGGGCAAGGTGTTCAGAAAGGAGTTCAGATCCAAGGTCGCCTTGGTGGAGATGGCTCAGTATTTAAACCGAAGTGTGATCCCCCGACAAATACCAGGCATGGGAGGACCCTGGACTGTGGTCTTCCTGCCCCAGGCCCCAGAATCAGAGTCACAGGATACACCCAATTTCCTTGCACAGACCCAGAGGCAAGCAGGGGTTGCCTTGGCAGGCGAGGCAGGAACTGGGCATGGGGCAGGAGCTGAAGGCAAGGCAGCTTCTGGAGGCAAGGAAGGGGCTGGAGGCGGGGCAGCAGCTGGAGGCGGGGCAGGAGCTGGAGGCGGGGCAGGAGCTGGAGGCGGGGCAGCGGCTGGAGGCGGGGCAGCGGCTGGAGGCGGGGCAGGAGCTAGAGGCCAGGAGGGAGCTGGAGGAGGGGCAGCGTCTGGAGGCGGGGCAGCAGCTGGAGGCGGGGCAGGAACTAGAGGCGAGGAGGGAGATGGAGGCGGGTCAGCGACTGGAGGCGGGGCAGCAGCTGCAGGCGGGGCAGGAGCTGGAGGTGAGGAAGGAAGCGAGGCAGAAGCTGGAGGCGAGGCAGGAAGTGAGGCAGGAGCTGGAGGTGAGGAAGGAACTGGAGGCGAGGCAGCGGCTGGAGGCGGGGCAGGAGCTAGAGGCGAGGCAGGAGCTGGAGGCGGGGCAGCGGCTGGAGGCAGGGCAGCAGGTGGAGGCGCAGAAGGAGCTGGAGGTGAGGAAGGAACTGGAGGCAAGGCAGGAACTGGAGGCAAGGCAGCGGCTGGAGGCGGGGCAGCGTCTGGAGGCGGGGCATGAGCTGGAGTCGAGGCAGCAGCTGGAGGCGTGGCAGCGGCTGGAGGCGGGTCAGCGGCTGGAGGCCAGGAAGGAGCTGGAGGTGAGGAAGGAACTGGAGGCTAGGCAGCAGCTCTGGAGGCGGGGCAGGAGCTGGAGGCAAGGCAGAAGCTGGAGGCGGGGCAGCAGCTGGAGGCGGGGCAGCGGCTGGAAGCCTGGCAGCGTCTGGAGGCGGGGCAGCAGCTGGAGGTGAGGGAGGAACTGGAGGCGAGGCAGTGGCTGGAGGTGAGGAAGGAACTGGAGGCGAGGCAGTGGCTGGAGGTGAGGAAGGAACTGGAGGCGAGGAAGTGGCTGGAGGCGAGGAAGGAGCTGGAGGCAGGGCAGCCGCTGTGGGCCAGGCAGGGCCTGAAGAGGAAGCAGGAGAGTCAGATGAGGAGGGAGCCGCTGGGGACGCAGGAATTGCAGGTTTGTTAGGATCTGTGAGTGTGGCAGGAGCTGCAGGTGAGGCGGGACCTGCAGGTGAGGAAGGAGCTGTGGGTGTGGCAGGAGCCATAGGTGCGGGAAGATCCTGGACCCAGCCTTGGAGCCCGGCCTGGCAGCCTGTGCTGGAAAACAGGGCCTCTATGAAACTGAGAACCTTTCCTGGAATGGAAGAGCCACACCGAGAAGAAGAGCCCTTTGAGAGCTGGCTGGATCACGCCAGCGACATGCTGTACCTGTGGTGCCACGTCACAGAGAGGGAGAGGAGGAGGAGGCTGGTGGAGAGCTTGGGTGGCCCCGCACTGGATCTCGTGTGCGGCCTCCTGGCAGAAAACCCTGACGTCCCTGCACAGGATTGCCTGGCCGCGCTGGTCCAGGTGTTTGGGAGGAAGGACACCCCCACGACCGCACGGCTGAAGTTCCTGACCTGTGGCCAGCGGCCCCAGGAGACTCTCTTTGTCTATGTGATTCGCCTGGAAGGCCTGCTGCAGTCGGCCGTGGAGAAGGGGGCCATCCATCCCAACCTTGCGGACCAGTTACGCGCCCGGCAGGTGCTGATGCGGGCCCGCCCCAACGAGATGCTCGAGAACAAGCTGAGGAGGATGCGGCTGGACAGGAGACCACCTGGCTTCCTGGGGATGCTGCGGCTCATTCAGGAGACCGAGGCATGGGAGGCCACCGCAGCTAGGAGTGAGCACTTGCAAGTGGAAGAGGGGGCCCGTGTGGGCACCGGAGGCCTGGCCGCTGCCCGGGCCAGTGGAGAGGTTGCGGAAGCCTCCCCAGCCAGGGAAGGTGCTTCCCAGGCTGCCCTGGCCAACCTAGGGGCCAGTGAGGCCGTTCCTGGCAGTGCCGAAGCTGATACGGCTGCTCCTGAAGCCCATGATGCCGCCAGGGCAGCCCTCGTCCCTGAGGAGGCCCCCAAGATCTTCCCTGCCACGCAGGAAGATGAAAATGCTCCCGCCTCTGCGGGCCTAGATCAGGCAAGGCCCTCAGAGGCCCCAGGGGGCCCCACCCCTGCCCAGATGGGCAGCGCTTCCAAGGAGGGCCCAGGAGGTCCTGGCTGTGAGCCGGAGGGCCTCGCCCAGGCAGGAGACCAGGAGGCTGGGGAGCCCCTGGAGGAGGGGCCCAAGCCCATCCCAGAGGAGTCGGGAAACGAGGACGGGGCTGGGGAGGTGAGGCCCCCCAAGTCCTCCTCGGGCAAATAGGCTCAGACGGCCCAGGGGCCCCCTCTCCTCTCAGGCAGCAGCGCTCTGGAGGCAGGGGGAGGCCACGCCGGGGCAGCAGCCTCTCCCCACATGGAGGCAACAACCCACCCAGCCCAAATTCGCAGGACCCCATCTTCCCAAGGCACCCTGGCCACCACCATCAGCCCTTCCAACGGACCAGGATGACCATACTTGATGCAGAGTGGGGCAGGGAGAGGTGCCCCCTCCCATGGCAGCTCCACCCCAGCCCCAGCCCCAGCCCTAGCCCCAGCCCGAAACCCTGCCAGTCCAGGCAGCCAGGCTGGGAAGCACCCCTGAGTGGCTGGCCCTAGCCTAGGTGAGGAGCACCTGAAAATGTGTGCCACCCACACTGGCCTGGGAGATGTTAGGGGCCGTCTCAAGGGTGCCGGCCCCTCGGGCCGCCCAAGAGGGGGACCCTCATTCACTGACCCGTGGAGCACATCACTCCACGCTCTGAGAAGCCCACTTGTGCCTCTGTAGGCCCCTTAGTGACCCCCCGTGTCAAGTGGCACCCCCAGCTCCCCCTACACGCACCCTAGTTACCATTCCCGTGCAGAGCCCTGAGGTGTGCAGGAGCCCGCGGCGGGTGTCCTGGCCTGACGCAGCAGCCACCTCTCAGCCCCGGGTGTGTGGCACGAGCTTCAGTGCGAGCCCAGGCTCTGCTCGCTGTCGTGCGGTGTCGTGAGCTCAGCCCATGCTTCCTCGGTGTAGGTTTAGGCCAACTGCTGCTTGTTCTTGTGGAGATGTGTGTGTGTTCTTATCTGAGCAGCCGCCCCCACCCCGCCCCGGAGACCTGTCGAAGCCCAGTCCCAGGAGATGGCGGGAAGGACAGAAGAGAGCATGGCTGGTGCTGACCCCGCGACCTCAGGAAGGAGGCACTGGACCAAGGACAGAGGTGGCCTGCAGGAGTCTCCGTGGAAACCGTGCTGTGATGTGCCACTCTCTTGTTACTTGTGACTCAGTTTCTTCGGCTTGTCCAAGTGTCCCCTGCTGAGTTTTCCAGTGTCCTGTGACTGTCCTGTGTAGGCCATAGGGCAGGACCAGGCCCCAGCATGTCGGCCAGAGGGGAGAGTGCCCTGGCTAGCATCCATCATCCTGGCCAGAGACTGTGGGGCCCTCAGGAGGGGAGACTATGGGTGGATGCCATCATGTTGGGGCAAGCAGAGGCACCTTGTTTGGGACCTGAAGAGGAGGGGAGCCACGACCTGTGGGCTGTAGTACCTGTTAGACATTCTTCTCTATGTTGTCATTACCTCTCTTCAATGGTTTCAGTAAATGTCTTCAATAAAGTGCATTGAATGTTTCAGCTGAGTCTGGCCTCTGCTGTGGGCAATTGAAGGAAGGGCCTACTGGTATAGGAGTGGGGTCAACAGTGGCCTGGTATCCCGAGTTGGTAGTGAGGTATGGTGGAAGCATGGTCCAAGATAGGGTATGGGTGCCTCATGTGTAAAATTTGTCACCACACAGGGAACAGTGGCTTATGGATCCTGTAAGGGAACTGAGTAAGCTAAGTTTTGTCCATCAATAGGAGTCTGGTGTGTGCCGGCAGCAGCTCATTTAATGTCCTGAGCATACACTGAACGCTATGGAGATATATATATATATATATATATATATATATATATTTCGAAAGAGAGAGAGACAGAGTGTGTGAGTGGGGTAGGGGCAGAGATGGAGGCACAGAATCCAAAGCAGGATCCAAGCTCTGAGCTGTCAGCACAGAGCCCAAGGCAGAGCTCAGCTCAGGAACTTTAGGATCATAACCTGAGCAGATGCTTAACCGACTGAGACATCCAGGAGACCCAACAGAGATATATATTGAATAGCTCCTGGTTTTATTCTCATCAACTCAGTCTCTGCAATTAATGTTCTAGAGCCTTCACGATATGTTTGGAAAACAAGGAGATTCTGGATTGGGAAGAAAAATGGTAGATATTCCAGCACTCCTCCAGGAGTCTGGGCAGCCTGGACACAAGTCTGGCTTCCCGCGTGCGCTCCTGACTGGCGCGCGTCTGTTCACGTGCGCTTATTGGAGCGAGACAGCGTCTTCTGTGCGCCTGCGCGCTGGAGCGAGCGCGGTGAAGCTGGTGTGCGCCTGCGCGCACCGCCATTTCCTGCAACTGGAAGCTTGGGTAACTTTGCCCATCGGAAAATGCGACAGCCCACAGAGCGAAATGGCTGCCCTGGGGGAGAACGGCCTCAGTGTAGCTTTTCTTGCTGCCGTGCTGATTCCGGCCGCTAGATGGTGCGCGAGGATCACAAATGGGCTAGGCCTACCGTCTGGGAGGCTCCCTGGGCTCTCGCTGCCCTTGCCCTGCTGGCCCAGTGGGCTCTGGTGGTGCCACCGACCTTGGGGTTGAAGCAGCCCCTCTGACCACGTGTGGACGGACCATCGCCACAGTCCAGGCGGAGGCGAGAAAGAGGGAGCGAGCTGGGTACCTGTAAGGAGCTGAACGGGGTTCAGCTAGTGTGAACGGGGTTCACACTAAAGCAAGTGTGGTCCCCGCCTGTTTGGCAGGGTGCCCCGGCCTCTCGGTCGTTTCTGGCCACTGGCCACTGATCTTCAGAGCTGCCCAGGGGCAGGGGCTGTGGACATACTGGGAGGGCAGCGGATCCTCCACCCATGAGGGAACCTCCTGGGCAGATCTGCCTGGGCAGGGCTCTGGGGTTCTGTGGAAAGGCAGCTTAATTCCCAAGAGTTGGGCGAGGAAGGGTGATGGGGGTGGGCAAGGTGATCCTGCAGAGCCGTGGAGCCTTACGTTTCCTAGGTCCTGAGATCATGTGGGCCTTTCTTTTTTAATCAGTAGAAACTGAGTTACAAGAAAAATTAAGGGATTGTAGTGGTCATAGAATTACAGAGCTAGGCTTCTTATGTTTGGGATTTGTGCTCCTTTCATTCACTGTACAGTTTCCATTTCATAGATAGTTCTTAACTGCCATGGCCTTGATGAGCCTAGTGGGAGACTTGCTGTGGCAGTCAGACTGGATGTGAGGGAGGGGTCAGCTAAGACTGAATGATTCTCCAAGTGTCTCCTAAACAATCCTATCTTATTTTACTTCCTGCCTCCCTGATATTTGTAATGGTGCTCCAACACTTCTATTCTATTTAGAAATCTACTATTCTTGCTCCAATGGACCGTCTGTATCATGTAATTAAAGCTCAGTTGTTTTACTTGAGGGGACTTCATGAGTGACTCTCCTGTTGTCTTTATTTTCATGGAATCTTCTTGATGCATTCACACTAAAGCAAGTAGTTTCTGTTAACATTGGTACCAAGCAGCTGAGAGGTCTTAATGTCATCTCCATTTCCATAAGTGCTGCCTTTCAGCCTTATTGCATTTTTATGTTTTCTAGAAAAATCTCTCCCTGACTTAAGACAGACACAGTACAGGCCATTTTGAGGCTTATCTTTCAAGTTCTAAGAGCCTCCATTTCCCAAAGCAGAAGCAGTGCAGGAAGGGGCACTGCTCCCAGCCTTTATTCCCCCTAGAAACTAGCCTTTCCTTTTCAGATGTTTCCCTCTTCACCCTGTGCTTCATATCTGGGCAACCTTGTAAGAAAGCCTGGGTTCTCCCTCCTTTGGCACCAGAGAGAGATTGGAAACAATCATGCCTCTGGCTACATATGGGAATGCTCACCCTGGCCCCAGTCACTTCCTTGCTTTCACAAGCCATTTTGCAACTGCTTGAGAGATCTTTCCCTCTTCAGAATCCTCAATTATGTAAGTAATGAACCTTTTTTTTTTTTTTGGCCTCTTGGTATGTGTGTTTTGTCATTAGTCTCAACATCCAAAGGAAATTTTAGGTGGGGGTCTATCTGTCTCTTGGAAACCATAACATTGTTAAAATCCATGTCAAAGTCTAGGCAACTGCACCCCCCCCACACACACACAGCCAAGAAAGTGAATTACAAACAATGTTACAGGAGGCATGGTGGAGATTAGACCCTTCATATCTTAAAGATCTGAAGGATACTGAGGTGGTTGTACCCATCGTATCTCCATTTGCTTTGCCAGTCTGAATACTCTATACTTACTGCCCGAAACTTCACCAAGTAGTAGTCCCAGTTATAGATGCTGTGTGCTGGATGTGGTAACATTGCCCAAGCAGTACCTAAGGCCTTAGGTACTAAAACAATGAAGTATAGAAGCAGATATTGAGGCCACTCTTGCTCTCATTAAAGTAGGGTGTGTCTCCACCTCTGGTAGGAATATGTTAGTGGGTCTTGTGGTGGCGGTGATAGTGGTTGAGATTTTTGTTCTTGTTGTTTGTCTTAATGTTACAGCTGTTTCTACAAAATAGTGGTGGAGTAGTAGCTTTATTTTAATTCTGGAAAGCAAAAGGACATAACTAAAACCTTTTACCAATGAATATTTTAAGACCCATATGTCAACATTTATGGAGTGACTTATACACTTTAAATTAAAAGTTTTTAATTTAAATAAAATAAATTTATTTACACTTTTGTTAAAAAAAATAAGGCCATAAGGTATATGGCCATTGACCTAACAAATGCATTCCTTTCTATCCCAAGCAATCAAGCAAAGAGGATAAGAAGCAGTTCTTAATTATGTGTACATGCAAAGATCTTTAATTTATAATTTGTTCTATGACTATGTTACCTCTACTACCCTATGTCATACCTATCCTCTCATAATATAGTCAGAGATGTGGATCAACTGAACAGCCTATAGAACATCACTACATCACCCATATCCATTACACTGACACCATTATACTGATTGGAGAGGATGAATAAAAGACTTCTGTAAGATATAATGTGTTCCAGAGGGTGGGAGATAAACCCTGCAAAGATTCTGAAAGTCACCAATTCAATGAAGTTTTTAGGAGTCCAGTAGTCAGGGGCATGCCAGGATGCCTCCTCCAAAGTAAAAGACAAATCATGTCTTGAATCCTCCACCAAAAAGAAAGAAGTAATGTACCTGGTAGGCCTCTTTGGGTTCTAGGGACAAAACATTCCACCTCCAGGGGCATCTGGGTGGCTCATTCAGTAAAGCATCTGACTTCGGCTCAGGTTATGAGCTCACAGTTCATGAGTTCCAGCCCTGTGTTAGACTCTGTGCTGACAGCACGGAGCCAGGAGCCTGCTTTGAGTTCTGTGTTTCCCTCTCTCTTCTCTCTGCCCTACCCCACTCATTCTCTCTCTCTCTCTCTCTCTCTCTCTCTCTCTCTCTCTCTCTCAAAAATAAATAAACATTAAAAATTAAAAAAAAACACTCCACCCCAGGATTATTGTTCTTGTCCATATATCAGGTGACACAGAAGTCTGAGATCTTTGAGAAAGGCAGGGTGCAGATTAATCTACAGCAGGTCCTGGCTGCAGTGCAAGCAGTCACTTGAACCATCTCATTTGGCCGACCCCATGGTGTCAGAGGTATCAGCAGGGGACAAGGATGCAGTATAGAGTTCAAGGCCTGCCTGTGTAGGAGAATCACCACCCCGACACCTGGGGTTCTAGAACAGGGTTATGCCATACACCTTTCTAGAAATAGCATCTGATGTGTTTCTGGGCCTTGGTAGAGACTGAATGCTTGACTATGGGGCTCCAAATGACTGTGCATCTGGAATTTCCTATTATGAACTGGGACCTATCAGACTCATAAAGTCAAGATCAGATGGCCCATCAGCAATTAACTGTACGATTAAATGGTATGTCTGGAATACAACCTGGGCAGGAAAAGAGGTGTAGTAAGTTCTGTGAGCAGTAGCTCAGATACTCATATTATCCATCACAGTTACAAGATAGCCTTTATCTCAGCTCACACCTATGGCCATATGATCCCGTATTGGCTTGGTATTTGGGTACCAGTTGAAAGCAAATGGTTTCTGCATTCTAGATATAGCCAGGGATGCCCCTGAAAGAAAATGGAGAAGGAAGATCTTCCCAATGAGTGGAGGTAAAACAGAAGTACATCATCCTTTTTGTAGAAATAGCCCAGGATGAGACTATATACAGGCTCCTGAGCAGTGGCCAATGGCCTAGCTCAGGTCCTGGAAGTAAAAGAATTGGACGATTGGAGACAGGAGGTCTGGCATAGAGGCCTATGGCTATATATATGTGAGTGGGCATGGAGAGAGAAGAATTTTATATTACATACTAATGCTCACCAGAAGACAACACTTAAAGAGGAACTTAGCAGCCAGTTGGAAAAAAAAAAGACTTTTCAAGTTGATGTTAGCCACCCTTCATCATCATCCAGCCTGGAATGGACACAATGGACACATAAATGGAGTGGCTGCAGTAGGACAGATGGAGACTGCTCATGAGTCCAACATCATGTAATCC